GATTTCCTTTGCTGTTAAATTTCATTTGTTCCTTTCTCTAAATGATTTCCTTTGCTGTTCGATTACATTTGTTCCTTTCTCTAAATGATTTCCTTTGCTGTTCGATTACATTTGTTCCTTTCTCTAAATGATTTCCTTTGCTGTTAGATTTCATTTGTTCCTTTCTCTAAATGATTTCCTTTGCTGTTCGATTACATTTGTTCCTTTCTCTAAATGATTTCCTTTGCTGTTCGATTACATTTGTTCCTTTCTCTAAATGATTTCCTTTGCTGTTCGATTACATTTGTTCCTTTCTCTAAATGATTTCCTTTGCTGTTCGATTTCATTTCCTTTCTCTAAATGATTTCCTTTCATTTGTTCCTTTCTCTAAATGATTTCTTTAAATGATTTCCTTTGCTGTTCGATTACATTTGTTCCTTTCTCTAAATGATTTCCTTTGCTGTTCGATTACATTTGTTTCCTTTCTCTAAATGATTTCCTTTGTTCCTTTGTTAGATTACATTTGTTCCTTTCTAAATGATTTCCTTTGCTGTTCGATTACATTTGTTCCTTTCTCTAAATGATTTCCTTTGCTGTTCGATTACATTTCTTCCTTTCTCTAAATGATTTTCCTTTGCTGTTCGATTACATTTGTTCCTTTCTCTAAATGATTTCCTTTGCTGTTCGATTACATTTGTTCCTTTCTCTAAATGATTTCCTTTGCTACATTTTTAGATTTCATTTGATTTCCTTTCTGTTCAAAATTTTGTTGATTTCCTTTGCTGTTCGATTACATTTGTTCCTTTCTCTAAATGATTTCCTTTGCTGTTCGATTACATTTGTTGCTTTCTCTAAATGATTTCCTTTGCTGTTAGATTACATTTGTTCCTTTCTCTAAATGATTTCCTTTGCTGTTCGATTACATTTGTTCCTTTCTCTAAATGATTTCCTTTGCTGTTCGATTACATTTGTTCCTTTCTCTAAATGATTTTCCTTTGCTGTTAGATTTCATTTGTTCCTTTCTCTAAATGATTTCCTTTGCTGTTCGATTACATTTGTTCCTTTCTCTAAATGATTTCCTTTGCTGTTCGATTACATTTGTTCCTTTCTCTAAATGATTTCCTTTGCTGTTCGATTACATTTTTTTCTTCCTTTCTTTGCTAAATTTTTCCTTTCCTTTCTGTTTAAATGATTTCCTTTGCTGTTCGATTACATTTGTTCCCTTTCTCTAAATGATTTTCCTTTGCTGTTCGATTACATTTGTTCCTTTCTCTAAATGATTTCCTTTGCTGTTCGATTTCATTTGTTCCTTTCTCTAAATGATTTCCTTTGCTGTTCGATTACATTTTTGTTCCTTTCTCTAAATGATTTCCTTTGCTGTTCGATTACATTTGTTCCTTTCTCTAAATGATTTCCTTTGCTGTTCGATTACATTTGTTCCTTTCTCTAAATGATTTCCTTTGCTGTTAGATTACATTTGTTCCTTTCTCTAAATGATTTCCTTTGCTGTTCGATTACATTTGTTCCTTTCTCTAAATGATTTCCTTTGCTGTTAGATTTCATTTGTTCCTTTCTCTAAATGATTTCCTTTGCTGTTCGATTACATTTGTTCCTTTCTCTAAATGATTTCCTTTGCTGTTCGATTACATTTGTTCCTTTCTCTAAATGATTTCCTTTGCTGTTCGATTACATTTGTTCCTTTCTCTAAATGATTTCCTTTGCTGTTCGATTTCATTTGTTCCTTTCTCTAAATGATTTCCTTTGCTGTTCGATTACATTTGTTCCTTTCTCTAAATGATTTCCTTTGCTGTTCGATTACATTTGTTCCTTTCTCTAAATGATTTCCTTTGCTGTTCGATTACATTTGTTCCTTTCTCTAAATGATTTCCTTTGCTGTTAGATTACATTTGTTCCTTTCTCTAAATGATTTCCTTTGCTGTTCGATTACATTTGTTCCTTTCTCTAAATGATTTCCTTTGCTGTTCGATTACATTTGTTCCTTTCTCTAAATGATTTCCTTTGCTGTTCGATTACATTTGTTCCTTTCTCTAAATGATTTCCTTTGCTGTTCGATTACATTTGTTCCTTTCTCTAAATGATTTCCTTTGCTGTTAGATTTCATTTGTTCCTTTCTGTTCTAAATGATTTCCTTTGCTGTTCGATTACATTTGTTCCTTTTCTCTAAATGATTTCCTTTGCTGTTCGATTACATTTGTTCCTTTCTCTAAATGATTTCCTTTGCTGTTAGATTACATTTGTTCCTTTCTCTAAATGATTTCCTTTGCTGTTCGATTACATTTGTTCCTTTCTCTAAATGATTTCCTTTGCTGTTCGATTACATTTGTTCCTTTCTCTAAATGATTTCCCTTTGCTGTTAGATTTCATTTGTTCCTTTCTCTAAATGATTTCCTTTGCTGTTCGATTACATTTGTTCCTTTTTCTCTAAATGATTTCCTTTGCTGTTCGATTACATTTGTTCCTTTCTCTAAATGATTTCCTTTGCTGTTCGATTACATTTCTTCCTTTCTCTAAATGATTTCCATTTTTCCTGTTCGATTACATTTGATTACATTTGTTCCTTTCTCTAAATGATTTCCTTTGCTGTTCGATTACATTTGTTCCTTTCTTTCTAAATGATTTCCTTTGCTGTTAGATTTCATTTGTTCCTTTCTCTAAATGATTTCCTTTGCTGTTCGATTACATTTGTTCCTTTCTCTAAATGATTTCCTTTGCTGTTAGATTTCATTTGTTCCTTTTCTAAATGATTTCTTTTGCTGTTCGATTTCATTTGTTCCTTCTAAATTATTTCCTTTGCTGTTCGATTACATTTGTTCCTTTCTCTAAATGATTTCCTTTGCTGTTCGATTACATTTGTTCCTCTCTCTAAATGATTTCCTTTGCTGTTAGATTTCATTTGTTCCTTTCTCTAAATGATTTCCTTTGCTGTTCGATTACATTTGTTCCTTTCTCTAAATGATTTCCTTTGCTGTTCGATTACATTTGTTCCTCTCTCTAAATGATTTCCTTTGCTGTTAGATTTCATTTGTTCCTTTCTCTAAATGTTCCTTTCCTTTGCTGTTCGATTACATTTGTTCCTTTCTCTAAATGATTTCCTTTGCTGTTCGATTACATTTGTTCCTTTCTAAATGATTTCCTTTGCTGTTCGATTTCATTTGTTCCTTCTAAATGATTTCCTTTGCTGTTCGATTACATTTGTTCCTTTCTCTAAATGATTTCCTTTGCTGTTCGATTACATTTGTTCCTTTCTCTAAATGATTTCCTTTGCTGTTAGATTTCATTTGTTCCTTTCTAAATGATTTCCTTTGCTGTTCGATTTCATTTGTTCCTTTCTCTAAATGATTTCCTTTCCTATTCGATTACATTTGTTCCTTTCTCTAAATGATTTCCTTTGCTGTTCGATTTCATTTGTTCCTTTCTAAATGATTTCTTTTGCTGTTCGATTTCATTTGTTCCTTTCTCTAAATGATTTCCTTTGCTGTTCGATTACATTTGTTCCTTTCTCTAAATGATTTCCTTTGCTGTTCGATTACATTTGTTCCTTTCTCTAAATGATTTCCTTTCCTGTTCGATTACATTTGTTCCTTTCTCTAAATGATTTCCTTTGCTGTTAGATTTCATTTGTTCCTTTCTAAATGATTTCCTTTGCTGTTCGATTTCATTTGTTCCTTCTAAAAGATTTCCTTTCCTATTCGATTACATTTGTTCCTTTCTCTAAATGATTTCCTTTGCTGTTCGATTTCATTTGTTCCTTTCTAAATGATTTCTTTTGCTGTTCGATTTCATTTGTTCCTTTCTCTAAATGATTTCCTTTGCTGTTCGATTTCATTTGTTCCTTCTAAATGATTTCCTTTGCTGTTCGATTTCATTTGTTCCTTCTAAATGATTTCCTTTGATGTTTGATTTCATTTGTTCCTTCTAAATGATTTCCTTTGCTGTTCAATTTCATTTTTTCCTTTCTCTATATGATTTCTTTTGATGTTTGATTTCATTTGTTTCTTTCTAAATGATTTCCTTTGCTGTTCGATTTCATTTGTTCCTTTCTAAATGATTTCTACATAATTTCCTTTGCTGTTTGATTTCATTTGTTTTTCTAATTTTATTTTCTTTCGATTCCTATTCCCCTAGATGTCAAATGTCTACGTTTAGTTTAGTTTTTTTTTTTTTTTTCGTTTCGCAATTTCGTTCATTCTTCTTCATTTTTTCGCATTACTCTTTCTATTTTCTTTCATTGATATTTCAATCTCACATATTTTTTCCTTTGAAACTTTCCTTCTTTGGAACTTAATTTTTTTTAACTTTCCGATTCTCTCTGCATTTTTTTCGTCTTCCATCCTCTTCAACGATTTCTTTCTGCCAACCTTCCAGATTATCATTCTTTTCCCAGACTCCCTGCAGTTTTTCCAATTATCATCTTCTCAGTATTCCATTTTTCTTCTAACACTTCCCTGTTTTAATTTCTATTTTCTATCATAAAATCGAAATAGACGTGAACATTTTCAGTAAGTTTCGTTTTTTTTATTTTGATTTGTTTTGTTATTGTCTTTTTACAGAAGCGCAGATGTTTGTGACTGTTGTAATAACCTGTAAGTCATACTACACAAGATTTCGTCCGAATCTACTCAAACATACACACACGCACACAATTACATACATATATATATATATATATATATATATATATATATATATATATAGAGAGAGAGAGAGAGAGAGAGAGAAAGGAAGAAAAAGAAAGAAATAAAGAGTTTCAAAAATACACGAATACCTTATCAGTCAATTCTATAACAACAAGGATTCAAAATAAATATTAACAGAGGTACGTTTGAAAGACAGAATTTTGTGCTGAACTTGCTTTTAAAATATGAAATCTGAGTTTTCTCTTACAGAAAGGCAATTGAAAAATCGTGTTGTAAACACTAATGTATTAGCTAGCTAGCTAGCTAGATAGATAGATAGATGACAAAGAGACAAAGATAGATGAATTATAGATATATAATGAACTAAAGTAGATAATGAACAAAGGAAATGAAGAGATTTAGATAGATAGATAGATAGATAGATAGATAGATAGATAGATAGATAATTATAGATATATAATGAACTAAAGTAGATAATGAACAAAGGAAATAAAGAGATTCAGATAGATAGATAGATAGATAGATAGATAGATAGATAGATAGATAGATAAGACTGGCCAATACTCAATTTATTGTCGAAATATTTTTAGCTGATTTAGGACAATTTTTATGTGCTAAACTTTTTGAGTTCTGACTGCATGTTTTTTTACGGTTTTGCTTCTGTTGTCACTCCCATTAAAATATGTAAATATGCAGCATATTTTACGCAATAAAACTAATTATTAAGTTAATCTTAAACTTATTAATTTTAATCTATCAGAAGAATTTTCAGCCAAATATAGCTTCAAAAACACGCCTCCAAAATATTTATAAACCAATAACACGCAAGAAAGTGTTTACATATCAAAACGTCAATTATACTGTACAATACAAAATCATAGAATGTAAATCAGTAAGGTTGTTTTATTAGTCATTATAATTTAAGTCTACCGCAAAAAATATTGCGCGGACGTAGTAGTAAGAATACTGCGTCACTTTTTAGGGCCAATTAGGAATAACTAAAGATATAAAATTCAGGAGCCAATTTCTCAGGAATAACAGTGTAAAAATCACGATGTTTGACCCCAACGACAGAGTCTCTCAGATTCCACTAAGGGACATGTCACTAAGGAACATGTCACTTGAATATCAGCATGTCCACTAAGGGATATGTTGAGATTCAAGACCTCATTCACTTCCACACACACACACTATCAGCAAACGACTCAACAGCTTGGTGACCAGGATCAAACTTGGATGCCACACATGGTATGTAAGACATGTACCGAATATCTGCACTGGGGGACCAAAGACAAGAAGAGTTGTCTGAAATTTGGAATTCTCTTGGTGTGGGGAGAGCCAACAAACTATAGCACTGACTGCTACTTCTGTGCTATTGATGAGACTAGGACCAATAGAAAGAACCGGAGCCGTCTCAAGTATCCTGATCTTCAATCAGCACATCGTCCTATAACCCATTGGGATGAAATTTCAATACCTGTCTTTGGAGAAAATCCTGGCATTAATGTGAAAGATTTCTCAACTGTTCAAGAAGAAAATGAAGTGTTTTTTGACAATGATGCTCCACATCCTTTTTCCCAAAAGGAAATAAATGATCTCATTCATAATCTCAGCTTATCAAAGTCCTCTGTCAAACTGTTGGCATCTAGATTGAAGGAAAAAACCTCTTCTCTGACAGTGCTCACATCACCTTCTACCACAACAGGCATTAAGAGTACCTCCAATTTTTTTCTCTGAAGAGAAGAACTTTGTGTACTGTACAGATATTGCGCAGTTTCTGCACAAAATTGGAGTGCCACAGTACGTACCCAAAGATTGGAGATTGTTTATTGAGAGCAGATTGAAAATATGAAATCTGAGTTTTGTCTTACAGAAAGGCAATTGAAAAATCGTGTTGTAAACAGACTAAGATAGATCAATTATAGATATATAATGAACTAAAGTAGATAATAAACAAACATAATGAAGAGATTCAGATAGATAGATAGATAGATAGATAGATAGATAGATAGATAGATAGATAGATAGATAAGACTGGCCAATCCTCAATTTATTGTCGAAATATTTTTAGCTGATTTAGGACAATTTTTATGTGCTAAACTTTTTGAGTTATGGCTACATGTTTTTTTACGGTTTTGCTTCTGTTGTCACTCCCATTAAAATATGTAAATATGCAGCATATTTTACACAATAAAACTAATTATTAAGTTAATTATAAACCTATTAATTTTAATCACTGAAAAGTGTTCAGCTGAACAATGGCAACTAGTTTTCCTCTGTACCTCTCGCTCACTCGACGACACTGAAGGAAAAATATGAAGCAGTAAAGTATGTTCTGGAGAAAATTCATTAAATTCAACATGAGGGGTTTATTCGCCTTGACATGAAGATATTGAACTTTTTGTTGGGACAACAGTCGTGGTTCAGCAAGTATCTATGTTTTCCGTGCTTGTGGGACAGTAGAGACACTGCTCAGCATCATACAAAAAGGACTGTCCTGTTGGGGAAGAATTGATGCTTTTCAGAGTAACAAACTTCATCTTTAAGCCTCTGGTGGACAGACAGGATATTTTTCCCACCGCTACACATCAAGCTTGGCGTGATCAAGCAGTTCGCCAAAGCTCAGGACAAGGATGATGGCTGCTTCACTTACTTGTGCCAGGCTTTTTCAGGATTGACGATTGAGAAGTTTAAAACTGCCATCATTGATGGTCCTCAAATCTGTCAGCTCATCAGAGTTTGAAAACTCAATATTCGTAGTGGAACTGAAAGCATGGAAGGTTTTTGTTCTGGTTGTGAAGAATTTTCTTGACAACAACAAGGCCAGGGACTCCGCAGAACTTGTCATCAATATGCTGACATAACCTTAAAAGGTAACAAGAGCATCAAAATGCAGTACTTATTTTCTCATCTGAATCGGTTTCCTGAGAACAGAGAGAGAGATTCCATCAGGACCCGAAAGAGATGGAGAGCCGCTATCAGGGACGTTGGGATGCAGTCATGATGGCTGATTACTGCTGGATTTGAAGAGAGAGACCCCTGCCGCTGATCATTTTAAGGGTTTTAATAAACGGAATTTCAAGCCCTGAATTTTGAAATATGATGACGTAACATGTAATTTAGGGCTTACGGTCAAATCACGCTGAAAACACCGGTTCTCGTTCGATCACCGAAGTTAAGCATCGTAGAGCCAGGTCAGTACTTAGATGGTGGACCGCTTGGGAATACCTGGTACTGTAAGCCCCCAAAGTCCAACCCTTACCTCACAGTCGGTGGGGGGGGGTGTAAACGGTAGTGTCAGAGCTATGCCGCCCGGAACTTCGTTCCTGGTAGGGCCACCAAAGGCGGACAGGTCTGACACACACGCCGGCTAACAAGGGCTCTGGTGAAAATCCAAGGAGCGTCTGCATCGGTAACCGGCGGCTTCTGGTCGTTCCTGTCTCTGCGTCTGTGGGAACCCCGCGGCAAGCAAGAACGTTATCCGAGTAGGCCTGGGTACCCTACTTCTGTAATTTATCCCAAGAATCTTCTTCTCATAACAGGAAGAAGCCGGCTCAATCCGCCCAGGGTGAATGCCGCATCAGTAACATGTAATTTACATGTACTTACATTTATAAATATATACTGTTCAATTTATTGTAGTCTATGTTTGTAACTTTCAATTAATAAATTGTGTTAGAAAAAAACTTATTTTGTATGAGAAATATTAACAAAATTCAATCGATAATGTTACAAAAATGTAACCGAATTAGTCCTAAAATTGGATTTTTAAAAACTCAACATGGCACAAAAACATGACCTGACTGAAAGAAATTGAGGGTGTCATTTCGGATTACGCGGTGAAAAACTATCCTAAATCATTTTGAAAAAGTATAGACAACTTAAAAAAAATGTTTTTTGTTTCCCAGTTTAATTAATAGAATGAATTAGATAAACAGAAGAGATAGATAGATAGATAGATAGATAGATAGATAGATAGATAGATAGATAGATAGATAGATAATGAACAGAATGAATTAGATAATGAATTCGTGAAACGACGCGCCGCAGTTCTGTGGGCAATGGGAATGAAACCTTCAGAAATCCATCGCCAGATGTTCGCACAAAACGGAATACGCACACACCATGAATCAACAAAAGGTGTATGAATGGGTAGAACGTTTTAAAGTGAGAAGAACACGATTAAAAGAACGAAAAGCCGATGTGGTGGCCCATGAACATTGTACACAGAAGAACACACCCACGGAGTGGAGGTTGCTTGGCCAAGGAGGACCAACGAATCACGTTAGCCCAAGATTCGACAACTGTACGTGACTTCAGCTATTGATATGCACATGCCATAGTCCATAATGACTTGGGGTACTGTAAGCTTGGTATGCGTTGCGTACCCCAAACAAGCAACTATTGCAGACATGACTTCGTGAGCAAGTGAAAAGCTTCTTCTCAAAAGGGATGCTCATTGAACGATACCAGAAGTCTTCTCTTCCCAATCATGATAGAGTACAAAAGCGTCTTCTTGTTCTTGTGCGTGACGAATTTTTTTCCCGCTCTGTAAGCCCTTTCTTTACATGGAAAGTGTTCAGACGAACTACATTCCTTAGTTCCTCCAACCATAACCTTCACGGCTGCTACACTCATTGTAGCAAACCACACTCATTCGTTTTGTATTCCATTGGTGAGATGTAAGTTCCAACCGATTAGCTTCTTCCCACGAACGACTGATTTGTGGAACCGATTCTCAAGAGGATGATTCTCCGATCACTGCAATCTTAACGTGTTCAAGTCTAGGGTCAACCGTTATATTCTTCATATATATCCGTATACAATATACCTCTTACTCTGTAACCCTCTATACAGAGTGGCTCTTGGGCATTGTTCAGGATGAACATCAGTGTGAAAAAAATGTCCAAGCACCACCATTTTCTAAAGTTATCGATATTTTTTCTGAGGTCGCTAATAAGAGCTGAGTTCGATTCCAATTGAGTTCTATAAGCTATATTCTCATATCAATTAAAGAATATGTCAAGGTTGCCTCGCTCGAGCAAAGTTGTATAGTTTCATTGTTCTCAATAAAGCAGTGATGATCACACCTAACAATCGATCAAACGCAGTTGTGATTGCCGGCCCACCTATGTGAAAATGAGGATACTGAAATTAAAGGGATGAACTCCTAACGTAATTCTCGAACTGTACGCAAAACAATTGACCCTAGCAAATTTTATAAAATCTAACTGTCCTGCCATTTATTTGGTTAAATGTGAAGGTATATATGTTTTTTTGTATATATGTATACCTGAGTGTATATGTGTTTATATATATATATATATATATATATATATATATATATATATATATATATATATATATATGTCTGTATATATGTGTGTATGTATATGTATATATGAGATGGGATCGAAGAAAGGTCAGATATGGATCAGAATCCTACAAAATGATAATCTCAGAATCCCACATAAACTAGAATTATTATACCCCTACTGACACAAAGGAAATATTTACGGCTTTTCAGTTAGGCTTGGAATCCGTTAATTTCTTGGAACTTCGAAAAGACGCGTCGTCTCTCCTTGAATTCGAAACGTCACAAATTATACTTACGTTGTTTTAACAAGTAGACTTCACGTGAAGCATGTCTGAAAATGAAACTTAGTTAACCATTGGATATCAAACAAGTAAAAAATACCAGAATTTGTTTCTTGTTGTCCTCCATGTCTCATTCCCTATTGAAGCTTTAATAAAAATCAAATGCGTTAAATTGATAAACGTTTCCTATTTGTACTTTATCTTATCATTCTGTCGGATTACGATTTGTATTTGATCCTAATTCTATTTACTTAAGTTTTAAAATACTAGAAATAGTCTGAAAATGAAACTTAGTTAACCAACATTTACTAGAGACCGTAAGACGTTAACCTGAAGAAGTCTTATGCATTTTGTGCATCCAGTAAATGATTGGAAATGTTAGATTGATAAACCGTTCCTATTTGTTTATTATGTTATCATATATATATATATATATATATATATATATATATGTGTGTGTGTGTGTGTGTGTGTGTGTGTGTGTGTGTGTGTGTCTGTGTGTGTGTTTATATTTTCCATGGATTTTTCCTTCTTTTTTTATTTTTTTTAACATCAGTGTGTCGTGAAAACATGAATAAATACTATTTTAACTATATATATATATATATATATATATATATATATATATATATATATTGCGTTCATTTTGGGAGCATGTTTTCATTAAGATCAGAGAAATAAAAGTGATTTATTCTTCGTTTTCTTGTCCTTCCAACTGTCTTTTTTTCGAGAATGAACTGTTTCAATTATTTTCAGATCAGATCATAAATGGCGTATCATTGGCATATCTGAGCTCGAACTGCACAATCCCCACTTTCCCGCTCTGACAGAGTTTAAGAATAATTTTCCACTCTACAACCTCTTTCCCCTAGACTACAACACCACAAGTCTATCGCTGCTCTATAGTTATTTCCATGCCGAGTGTTATGTTCCGTCTCATTAAATAATTTAGACAACAGAATCATCTCGTAATTACGAACAATTTCTTAGTATCCCTATTAATAGAAGAAAGAAAATTACCATGTTGATACATATTTATTTTATTCCGAGTACTTTCGACATTACCACAATGTCATCATCAGGGTTTTGTCTTGCATAAGACAAAAATATTTTTCATCATTTTCACTTCACACGTAAAAACTTAATTTTCAGATGAACACAACAATTTTGTCTTTGAAAAATGATGAACACAACATTTTTTGTCTTTGAAAATACAAAACCCAGATAATGACATTGTGCTAATGCTGAAAGTACTCATAATAAAATGAATATGCATCAACATGGTAATTTTCTTTCTTCCTTTAATAAGGATACTATTATAAGTTTGCGTAGCCTCCACAATTTTTTTCAATTCCGGGGTTTGAATGCTAATGATGCCCATCTTACGAGCAAGACTATAAAACAGGTTCTCAGCTGAAATGCAGTCAAGAAAACATGTTTCAACCAGGGAGGTGTTAAATGTTAATCTCACATTCTGTTACTGGTCTCATTAATTTGAATAATTCCATCATTGAAAGTTTAAAGCGAAGGGATTTTTCCTAAATATGCTCCATGGTATAGGCTTGGTACTCTACTCTGCAAGACGTAAGCTTATTAACGCCATGGGAAAATCTGCCATACCAACATCTTATAAATATATATTAGTTTCTCCTCTGTGTCCCTGTTGGCTGACACATGTTATATGTTCGAAATACTAATTGCTGATTAAATTCGAAGCGCCTTCCATCAGAGAGAGCAAAGTAAGGGTAGAAATAGAAACAAAATTGCGGGCAGCGTTGAAATAAACGCGTGTCTATGCGCATCTGTGGGCACGCACGCGCATGCGCACTCTGTTTCCCGCCTCTCACTCAACGGGCCTGCTTTCCGTTTATCCTAACCACACGCGATTGTTATTCCCATGTAAAATGACCGGGCAGATATTTTCGCATTTGCCCAATCTGTTTTGCAATGTTTTGTCTCGGAACAATTAGAAACTAATATTAAAAACCATCAGATCTATACAGCCTCAATTTAACTCACATATATCATAGATTTTACAAGCTGATAAATATAATTTTATCATATAGTTTGTGGTAGCTTCACAGGTGGTTTTGGGGGTTTTTTTTAATGCCACGTCTCCGCCTAAAATTTTGTATTTTTATTTACTATTTATATATAGTTTTCCCTCAATGGGAGTAGATAGGTTTGATTATAATTCGGTTCAACACTCCTCCCCGATCTTTTGAACAGGCATAGAGGTTTATTCTTTGTTTCCTGTTTAAGATT